AACGCCTTTTTTTGGGTACTCTCCAATTTCTTTTTGTTTTTCCTGATGACTATCATACTAGTGCGCCATAAAGGACAAATCACAAAGCATTGTAGATTGTAGATTGTTATGGTGGGGTGTTTAGGTTATGGACCTCTCCGCACTGCGACCTTCTCAGATCTATTGTGCTGCCCCTGATATCTAGTAGGTTCCCAGATTAAAACTTTTGGCAAAGCCGATAATACTCCTGGGATTGGCACTCCTCACATCCGCAGTCCTTAAATATGGGTGCTCCAGATGGATGAGTCTTCTGCGGCACAATGCCTTGCAAAGTATGTGTTCCGCAGACTCAGAGTCTTCTTCACAGAAGCGGCATAGGTCTGATTCTGTTTTACCCATTTTTTTTCAGGTGGTAACCCAGAGGGCAGTGACCCCTAAGAAGGCCCGTTAGCAGCCTCAAATCCGCTTTACCAAGGTCAACCAGTCCCTTTGCCTCTGTTGACTGAGGCGAAATGAGTTGTTGTTTCGCCTGCCTTATTAGTCCTGGAAGCGTGTTCCAGCGGGAGGTTTATTGACTGAAACAACCCCTATAATATGGCATTTCGTAATGCCAAAGAAAGGTTCCGGTCCAAGGAATGGAGTTGCAGCTCCTCGTCTTGCAAGTTGGTCCGCAATTGCATTCCCTTCGATTCCTTGATGCTCATGACAGGGAGACTCTGTTGCGGAACACCAGCTGCTTTAGGAGTTGTTGGCAGTCCCATACCAGTCTGGACTCATTGACAGATCTGCTTAGAGCTCTTAGTGCTGCCTGACTGTCGGAATTGATGTAGATCTTCGCTCTTCGCAGGTCTCTTTCGAGATACTTTCTAGCGCAAAGTTCTATTGTGAATATTTCCGCTTGACATATGGTTGAGCTTTCTCCTAGGGCTGTTGATAGCCTACAAAGTGAGCCGTATAACCCTGCTCCCTTGGTCTGTTTTTGATCCGTCTGTATACCAGACAGATGACCCGTTGGAAAATACAGGTACGATATTTTCTCCCTTGCGGCCTTCAGTAGTCACTTTGAAGAGTGTTCAAATTCGTATCTCTGTTGCATGTGGTCAACTGGTTTTGTGGTCACACATATGCATTCTTTCATAATGCTCATGTGACCGACAAGGTTCCCTTCCTTTAGTTTTAGGGATTGTACTGTTCTTAAGGCTCCCATGTAGGGCTCTTTTTTCACTAATAAATCTAGTGAGGGGAGGCCTAACATGACCTTCATTGCGGCGGTTGCTCATTGCTCCTGTAATGCCAAGACATACATACCTTTGTACAGTTGCCAATCGGTTTTGCGCTGTCTGTTGTTTCACTTTTGGCCACCACACTATTGCACCGTAGGTGACCATTGTAAATAACCAATAGATCAGTTTTGTCTTTTGTCCTCAAGTCTTGCTGAATAATCTATCTCCGGAATGTCCAGTATGTGCGGCTATTGCCCGGTCGGTCACTCTTTTGATATGTTGGTTCCAAGTGAGTTTCTGATACAAGGTGACTCCCAGGTATTTAACCTCACTTGCGAAATTGATTCGATCCCATTTAAGGTTGGGGCTGTTGGATTTAGCCTCATTTTCCTTGTAAAAGGTACGATTATAGTTTTGTCGAGGTTGCCACCATCTGATAATGACATTAGGGCATTTTGCATGAAGTCACTAATAATCCTATCATGCTTACCCCTAATAATGACTGTGAGGTCGTCAGCATATCCTAGGACTGTGATCCCTTAGGCGCTTAGCGCGTTGAGAAGTTCATCTACTACCAGTGACCATAACAGTGGGGACAATACCCCCCTTTGGGGGCATTCCTTGACTGCTGAGACCGTTGCAGTCGCTTCCAATGGTTGCTTTGATCTTCCTATTCTCGAGCATGGCTTGAATCCATGCAATTGTAGTTTCATCAAGGCCTTTATTTCTAGCCGCTCTTTTTATGGATTCATGTGAGGTGTAATAGAAGGCTCCCTCTATATCAATTAATGCACATAGAGCGGTTTCTTGATTAGCGTGTGCTTTTTCAATCTTAGTGACAAGACCTTGTAGGTCTGTATCAGTTGATTTGGAGCGGGATCCATGGTTTTCAAGAGAAGAGAAGGGAGGTTAGGCAAATTGATCTGAAGGACTAAGGTTGTTGTGTAGGATGCCTACCAGCCTTTGGAATGGGTCTTCATCAATAATGTCTATGTCATACGAAATCAAATATTCAATAAGGTACTCACCTCTTTGGTTAATATATGTGATGCCCCATACAGTGTGGTGAGCATTGGCATCACATCCCATTATTAATTATTATCTGTTTGTTTCTGGTTTTGCAGTAGCTAATGAGTCATTTAACGTCCTCTGGAGGTGGATTTGTTTTGTCGTCACCAGGGAAGTAAGCCGAGGCAATGACTACCTCTTACCTTCTTCCCGGCGTTGAGACCTCTATTGCTCCAGCAACCAGATCTTTGGTGATGAATTCTGGGAAAGGAACAAATTTGATTTTATTGTTGAGCATTATTACTGGTCTAGGATGTTCATGTTTATTATACAGGGCGAATCCGAAAGTGAGGCTTTTTTTTAACAGGATGTATATCTCACAAAAATAAGTTGTTTGGCAGTAAATTGTTGATATAAAAAATTTAAGATAACGGAGGTACAGCTATTTTGAGGTTAGAGGAGACTTCTACTATAAATCACTTTGTTCACATTTTTTCAAAAAAAAGCCGCAAAAAAGCCATTATTAGTCCAGCATAATGAGTCTTATTCCATAATAGGTACTCACAGTTGCATTATTCCATCAGAAAAAATTTCATTTTCAACCTATCAATTTTCGTTTTAGAGTGACACAGACAAAATTTAAGAGGAAAATGAAGCATCATACAAATGGAAATAATTTTGAACAATTTTTGTGATAATTTTTATCATATTTTCTCTACTAAATCTTAGATTATTGAAATTAGATTTTTAATGCACATAACCCTAAAATACCTGTACCTCCGTTATCTTAAATTTTTTGTGTAAATATTTTTTTGCCAAACAACTTATTTTGGCGAGATATATACCCTGCTAGAAAAAAACCCTCACTTTCAGATTCACCCTGTATATTAACTTACATCATTTTGTTAGAAGTCCTTTAGTTCTTGTTCTATGTACGCATGGTTTTTGAATAAGGGCTATATCCAGTTGTTCGTGTGTGAATCCGGGGCTAAGTACATCGGATGCAGCTTTTGCGTGTTGCAGATTAACTTGGACGATTTTGCAGGGAGCCATTGCTTACTCCTTGTTAGGACCTCTGGGTCCTCCTATTTTTTTTACCCCATTTTTAAAGGGTTTCTTCCCTATTGGGGTTTTACCCTTTCCTTGAAGGGGTGGCAGGATTACCTGATGAAGTTTGCTGAACCAATAGGCGACTTCAAAATTAGTCCCTTTCAGGTGTTCGTAGGACCCTTGGTCTACGGATAGGGTTAGAAGGGCGGAGGACCCTTCGGCCACTCTGTTGAGAGCTCCCCAGCCTGTGTGTTTTGGCCCTTTACTAGGCCAAGGATTTTGTTGGTCGGGCTGTCGGCACTGTTGGTGAAGTCTCACAAGGATTTGTGAGCGAGGAATTTTGGCATTCTCTATCGCTCTCAGTGTTGCGCCTTCCCATTGGCTTAGGGCTTCGATTTTGGCGAAGAGGCACTTTGAAGTGGCTTCATCCTCGCAATTGAGCACCATGAAGCCTGGTTTGAATGTGGAGGATTGAAATTTGAGTTTTGATACCCTATCCTTTTCCTCCAGGATCTTTTCTAGGATGGCAGCTTGTACAGCTTCAAGCTCAGCACAAAGCATACAATAGCAGTCGCTACTCAAATATTGTACATTTATTATTTTGAATTAAACGTGCAAGTAAGGCTATCTTTTCCTACGGTTTCACTATTGTTGAACCATCGCCTCCATGTTTCATGGCTCCAAATGGCTCTCATCCACATAAGTATTTATTTTTCCTTTAAAATTAAAAATTAAAAAAAAAAACTTATAGTTATTTCACGCGTAGAAAAAATATTGTTCCTAACACGTGCGCAAAGTAGTCTTCCTGCACTTAAAGCTTATCACAACTTTGCTTCGCGTCGTTCGTCTAACTGCTTTCGCGTGCAAGAAAACATAACTTTGCGCACTGATTAGGAAAACTACTATTATCGTTTCTCAATATTTTATTATGTTGTGACATTTCCCTAAAAAAATCAGAACCATTAGTCAACTTGCCTTTCATATTCCTGAAGCCCTGTGGATGACACGAACTAAAAAAATCGAATTTTTAGCTTTGAACTGAATAATGTATATCATAACTACACAGTGCAAAAAAGCTGCTCAGCTATTTGTTTAAATCATAACTCAATTCAAGAAGACAATAAGTACACTTTTTTTGCTTGGGAAATTTTCGACCTCACTAAAATCGGCCATAGCTAGTGCCAGTTTTGGGATAATTTTCTTGAATCTTTGGTTTGAGCACAATTATTCGATAGCTTATTGACCGTAAAGACTAGAAACAGAAATAGATTCAATGGATTTCTGATTCTGCGAGACGCACATTCTGAAAATATTTTCGACATTTTGACGTTGCTACTTACGAAATAAATTCGAAGTGCTACTACCTCCGTCGTTCTTATAGTATGAAATTGAATGGCAAAGCAATAAGTATCACTTTATATTATTAGGTGTGTTACAGAAATTACTTTCGAAAAAAGCGTCCATCAGGATTAGAAAACCCATGTACCTATTTTATTTTTTTCGAACTTCCACGGTTTTTGAACTATCGACCCAAAGCGCACTAATGAGAGAGACTAATTAATTAGTTATAGTAGTTTAGGCCTAATTGAATTCTATTAATTAATATTTTCAAATTGTTACTGCTTTCTCAATGTGTCGGATTATTAGAAGGTAAGCATCGAAGAATTTCGCTTTGTTACTCTGACTGGCTACAAGTATTTGTTGAAAATTTCAATATTCCTTTTTTTTTGTATTTTGCAGATGTCTTTGTGCTCCGAGATGGTTCATGAGTTCCGTCAAGCATTTTGTTATCACGAAACTAAAAAACCTACGAAACAGTCTCCGCAAAATAGTAGGTTCGATCCCGAAAGTTCTTTTACGAGCTTTGGTTTCGTTGCCATTTCAAAAGAATCAATAACTTAAATGTAAAATAAATAAGTATTCTAGAAATGTATGTATCATCACTCATCAAATCTGGGAACACTATATAAAACAATTAAATATCAAATTATTCAATAATAAATCACCCAACAAACCTTTTGGTTTCGTGTAGTAAAATTTTTGTTATATTTTATACAAAGTTTATCTTGTTAGTAGCCATTAAATATTGAATTTTCAAGAATTGATTTTTTATGTCCATTTATAAAAGATGTTTTATTTTTTTGACGTTTAACCAATCAATAGTAATTTTGTCCTTAGGCAATGTAAATATAATTCTAAGATAAATAAGTAAGTCAATAACGAGAGTTCAACTTACCCTTTTATGTTAATTCTTAGGTTCTAGTGTTAAAGCGCTCCATCTTAACTTCAAATAAAAGACTTAATTGTGATTATGTGTAAGAAATATGATATTACCGTACTTAATATATCAATTTCATAAAAAATATTTATTTATTTTATTTCTACACACGGTTCCTTATATGTTTAATATCATGTAGTCATTCATCTTTCTACCTTGGTTTTCTATATGTATTCAACGGAACGCTTGGATCGTATATCTTCGATTGCCAATTTATTAACTTATATCCTAAGAGCTGTTAGTCACACAGAAAAGCGGTTAATTTCCCAGAAAAAGGAAGGTAAATTAATTCTAAGAAAAGGATGGTTGACTGCATTTGAACATTTCTTCCCATATTTTCAGGATTACAGCTCTACTATTATCCGCTAGGTACCTACTGAAAAACATGTGGCTCCATCTAAGCTATACTGTGAATAAAAGTGTATCAGTTTATATGAAGGGAAAGCATTATTTGCGTTTTTTTTTCTATGTCATCGGATGATTTTCTGATAATTTTTCTAATAATTTAGTCAAGAGTGGCAATATTTGAAAACACGAAGTATATCAGCATCAGTATGAGTGTAGAGAAATCCATGGCTCTAAGATGAGAATTTTGGACCCGGAAAATCATTATTTTGAAAGAAATTTGAGTTAAATATTTGTACTGGACACACATACCCTAAATAATCATTCGATAAATATATTTTATCCCATTTTGACGTTTAAAAATGACATTATTGAACGCATAATGACAAAGGTAAGTAGACGTTTATCACCTGAGTGACTTAAAATATTTTTAACTCACTCTCGGTCTTTTAAGTCACTCTGCCAGTATAAAAATCTGCTACAAATACAAAAAAACAACTAGTTATACCTTAGCAACCACCAATTTCAATAATTAGCGCTCTCATAACTACTAAATGAATTCTTTTTATAATTTGATTCCTTACTTTTTAAATGTCCATCAAAATGGGATAAAATTTTGTATAAATCACGTGAGTTAAAATGCTTATTCATTCTCATGAATAAACATTCATTTAACTCACTTGGTGTATAAATAACTATAAAATGAATCTTTAGATATTTTTATCGTAGGTACTGAATGTTGAAGAGGAAAATATTACATAACATCAAACAAGGTTTTTTTTTTAACGAAAGTAAGAATTACGAGAGGATTAGGACACATACTAGGCAGTAAGAGAGAACAGGAATAATAGGTACCTAAATTCATTCTATCCTTGTCGCGAAAATAATAGGTCGATACTTCTTGATAGCCGGATTATTAAATAGTACAGTTAGTTTATTAACTTATAAATAGTAATATAACGAGTGCAATGGAAATTATCGATAATTTTTGGGAAAGGATCCCGCAATATTTAAATGGAAATTGGTTACCCGTGATATTTGGATGAAATTTAAATATGATATTGGGGATGCCGTAAGCAACATTTTTTACCATGGGCACAACCCTGTATATATGACAGGTGAGGCGTGGTTAGCTGTCAAATATTGGAATCTTATATCCAAAAGCAGAGTATCTATGGCAGATTTTGATGAACAAAAAATCTATTTCTACTAAGTCGACCAAGTTAAGTCGAAAAATGTCAACCATTTTAACACCTGTCAAAACCCTGCCAAACCGCAGCACTCATCTTTTCCAGTTTTCAATATTTTATGTTGTCATTTGACATTTTTAACGTATATGTAAATTCTAAATTCAAACATTGAAAAAAAAATGACAGAACTGTCAAAACCTGTCATTTGTTTTAGTAGAAAAAAATACTCTAATCTGGTCCTTTCTCGTTTTAAGGTAGTTTATTGGTGATTAAACATTGAACAAAGTTCATGCACGTCACATTTTGACAGCTGTCATTTTTTTTTCTTCAATTTTTGAATTCAGAATTTACATATAAGTTAAAAATGTCAAATGACAACATAAAATATTGAAAATTGGAAAAGATGAGTGCTGCCGTTTGACAGGGCTTTGACAGGTGTTAAAACGGTTGACATTTTTTGACCTAACTTGGTCGACTTAGTAGAAATAGATTTTTTGTTCATCAAAATCTGCCATAGTTACTCTGCTTTTGGATATCAGATTCCAATATTTGACAGCTAACCACGCCTCACCTGTCATATATACAGGGTTGTGCCCATGGTAAAAAATGTTGCTTACGGCATCCCCAATAACATATTTAAATTTCATCCAAATATCACGGGTAACCAATTTCCATTTAAATATTGCGGGGTCCTTTGCCCGAATGCATTTTTAGTTGAGCACTCGTGCACGTAGTGCACGAGTGCCTTTTTCAGTTAAAGACGCATGAGTGCAGATTTGTCGAAAATTATTGATACATTTCCATTGCACGAGTTGTCCTTTATAAGAAATTTTTTTGACAGTTCTATCAGCCAGTTTAATTTTGTTATAAAGTCTGTTTTTTTTTTAAAGATAATTCCCCAAGTCAAAAGTTTAGTAACTATGTTGGCAACACAAGCCTTTTCTACATAAAAAATTTAAAGCATTGACAATTTTACATTGTATTGCCAACATAATGTAATTTTGACTTTTATCTTAAAAAAAAAAACACAGTTTATATTGTCATGTTACACAAATCACCCAATCATGTCAAAACTATACTGAAAACATCCCTAGGGCAGTTGACATTGCCTTGGACATTGCTGTCAAAAAAAGTTCTATCCGAATAACCCTCGAACATTGATAAATACTCAAAAATGTTATAACAAATTTCGAAAGCTTGTTGCTTGAAAACAGATCGACGCGTTAGCGGAAGCTTTGAATAAAATATGCAAATACCTACTTAACTTCTACTCAAAAGGCGATACATGAATCTTCTCTATTGAAGTAGAGCACGCCAAAGAAACAAATAATTCTAGACTAGTGCTTACAAAAGCCTATAGGTATTCTCATAGGGCATAAAGAAGAACTAGAATCGCAAATAGAAAAAATGCTTGACCAAGATATCATACATTATTCTATGTCACAATATTCTACTCCAGTTTGACCACTTTGGATAGTATCCAAAAACCTTGAGTTCTCTTGAAAAGCAGTAACGTCGTGTGGTTATAAACTACAGCAAATTGAATGAGCCAATGGTCAATGATAAATATAATATTCGCTCTCCAACATCGCAGCGATTTCGATTCGAGTAGGAAAATGCCAGTATTTCTCAACCCTCGATCTCAAAGAATATTTCATTAATCAAATTTTTAGTTAGATACATTTGAGAGGTACACATCCCGTAGCAAAAATCAAAGCGTGATAAAAGGGCAGTTAACTATGGAGGAAAAGGTACTATCAAGGTAGATCTTGCTCAAGGCTAACCTCTGTAGTTTTATTTCTTCTGCAAACACCTGATATTCTGGACAAGTTCTAGGTAAGTTAGGGATCTAGAAGACGTAAAGGTAGATCATATAAGTTACCCATTTGAAGCCTGAAGCAGCTGTAGAAATCAATCATGCTGCATAGCATGCTACCGCTATATCATGAGCATCTTGGTCGTCGAAACAAGAGAAACATTAAGTCGGTGGGTTTACATGTGAAGCTAGATAGTAAACTCTGTGGAGGCCTTAGACCATTGCACGCTCTCTATCTCTTCAGACTAATAAGGATAATATTGTGCATATAATAATATAATAGCCAATAGCGCCGCTGGCAACCGCCGAAGGCGAAATTTTTTATTCGATATCGATAGTTAAAAATGATGGTATTTTTTTCCGCAACAAATTCACTGTCCGCATCATTTGTTTAGGTAATTGTCTAATGGCCGTTCACAAGAAGAAGGAAGCTAAATTTGAAAGCCCCGACCCTTAATGGTACACAACTAACATTTTCCAACGAAGTGGAGTACTTAGGGGTCACCCTGGATCGGACCCGCACTTGGAACAAACAGTTAGAGAAAACCGAGGAGAAAACATGCTCTCGAGCTACATCATCAGCCTTCTGGTCATGCCAAAAACTTGTTGGCAAAACATGGGGGCTAAAGCCAAAGATGGTATTCTGGCTCTACCAAACTATAATAAAGCCGATGGTCACATATGCCTCATTGATGTGGTGGCCCAAAACCCAACAAGTCATCGCTCAGATCAAGCTAAGAAAGGTGCAAAGCCCTAGAGACGCTACTCAACATGCCCCCACTTCACTTAAGTATGTGTGAAAACGAAGGCAATAACCAGCGCTCACATGCTATTCCAAATAGACAAGTTCAAGCCTGGTGATCTGAGGGGACATCTGCGAATCCTTGATTAAATAAAACTGGAGAATGCCAGCAAACCAAGTGACCACATGATGGTCAGATTGGACTTAGAGATCCCCTTCACAGTGGTAATAAACGACCGCCAATCATGGGAGAATAAAGAATTGCCACAAGAAGACAATGCATCTCTGTGTTACACAGATAGATCCTCAGAGGAATGATAGATCCAAGCTAATGGAAGGGGCTGGACTGGGCATTTCGGGCCCTAACTTCAAGCTCTTCAAGGCATTTGGTAAACATCTTACAATATTTCAAGCCGAACTGCTTGCCATAGATATATGTGCACAAGAGTGTCTTAACCAGAGCCTCAAAAGAAAACACATCTTCATACTATCGGACAGCCAAGCTGCCTTAAAAGCCTTAAGGGCTTTCAAATGCACGTCAAAACTAGTCTGGGAGTGTAAACAGACCCTAAAAACACCAGCGACACACAACCAGGTAACGCTGATGTGGCTGCCAGGTCATCGAGGCATAGAAGGAAACGAAGAAGCAGATGCAAACACCATACCGTGGACCAGAGCCCTACTGTGACTTAATGAAAAGCCACATCATGGAAGAACTCAACAAATGAGAGAAAAGAAAGACCAGCTGTCATCATATTGGAGGCACACACCGGGACTCAGACAGTCAAAAAGGTTTATTACCAGACATCAGATTGGTGGTAGGACTAATCACAGGACACAGCCTAGTAAAATACCATTGAAGGTTGATGGGAAGAGCAGAAGACGATCTCTGCAGATTCTGCTCAGACGCAATAGAGACCGCAGAGTACCTGCTCTGCGAATGTCCAGCCCAATTCTGCAAGAGGCTCAAATTTTTTTGAGGGGGCAACACTGTCACCAGAAGAAGTGGGCCAACTGACACCCAGGAAAATAGCTTCCTTCGCCAGAAGTCTACGCTTCCTGAAGACAACTTGAGATGTAGAGTCACGTACAAAATATCTGCAAAGGTAGCAGTGCTGTGCGGCTGAAAAGCCGAAACGACTCTCCCGCAATCTACAATCTACAATGGCCGGTATTAAAAAACACTGAACCGATGGTTGAGTTTCAACATTCGGTTTACTCCATGAAAATTGATAGGATTCAACCGAAGGTTGAAACTCAACCATCGGTACGAACTTTTATTGCTTTCTTGTTCAAAAGACTATTTCTAGGGGGGGCAAATGCCCCCTCTTGCCCCCCCAAACGACGCCCATGACAAATACAATTCACAATAGGCTCCTTGCATCAAATTTTTTTATTGCTGTCGATAGTCCATGAAAAATAAGTCAACACGTATTTTTTCTTGTTAATCATTAATTGACGGAGATATAACGCTTTGAAATGTCCTTCTGTCGTCATAACTTATGATACGTTGTGACGTCGCACATGCTCAGTATATCTATATATACAAAAATCAATATTTGTATAACTTTCGAAATAATCATATTTGGACAAAATAAAAAAACACGCATCGATTTTTTTTTTAGATTTCTTACAGTTTGCAATAAACAATAATCAATTCAATTTTCCATGCAAGTACTCTATTCTAAAAAAAAAGACAGCTGAGTTGACTGGCTTATTGTTCCACAGACGCTATACTCTGTCCAACCAAACTACGGAGTGACAAACAATAAAACCTTCAAAAAGGTTCGTTAGTTAGTTAGACGTTAGTCTATAATATTCTTTGGTGGCAGGTTATCATCTGGATGTTTTGCAATAAGGGTGGTGTCTGCTGAACTGGACACTTCCACAGCAAGAATGGTCTATTTTTCTTTATTTGAATCACACATTCGATATGGTGTGGTATTTTGGGGTTTCTGTAACCATCAACTTTTTAGCAGCATATTTGTGTTGCAAAAAAGAGCTAATAGGTATATGTGTAGAGTGAGAAGTAGAGACCACTGTAGACCATTATTTATCAGGCACGGCATACTAACATTATTATGTTTGTTTATCTTGGAGACAGTTTCTCTGCTTCAAAAAAAATATTTTGACCAACTTGAGAGCACATCTACACAGCACACATATGATACGCGACAAAACTGAAATATACGCCTTCCTATACCAAGACTCACTTTGACCAAACGGTCAATAATTTATGAAAGTCTCAAGATGTATAACCACCTGAGTGTTGAGTGTAGACAATTGCCATATCTTCATTTCCGCAGAAGGGTGAAGGGTATTTTGCTTGAAAGGACATATTATAGCTTGGGCGAATTTTACAATGATGATTTTTGAATGTAGTGGTTTTGCTTTTGTGATCTTGTAAGCTTGGTAGTCTCTATTTTTTTTTTATTTTTTTTTATGCGCGAATATCCTTGATTCCATATACCAAACCTTTGGAACAAAATTACTATGGATAATCTGAACAAAGTTCAAGACAACACACACAAACACATAACACAAAGATCATAGGAATGGTCAACTTACTGCTACCACACCTCAACAACTTAAGCTTAGATGATTCAACTTTCACCCAGAGGAGGACAAGCATCTGTGCTGATGTTTGATTCGATAAAGAAGTTAAGTTCTGAGTGGAAGGTTGAAAAGTTGCTGTACCATCTTTGGCCTAGAAGGGAAGTGGTTATATCCAAATATATGACCTCATTGTCCCAAGCAGAAGCCACGTCGTGTCTTGCAGTTTCAAGAAGCTTTGTCAGCGAATTCAGCATTGCCGTAATGAGTATGCTGACGTTATTTTAGTTAGTATTAATAAAATTAATTGAGTTGGAAAAAGTTAAGTTCAGGTATTAGTTTTTGTTGATATGTGCGTCAGTTTGAGGTTATGAATGTTTTAGAAAAAAGTTGATTTCGTATACCGAGATCTACATTTCTTCTACTGTTAGGGAGAATCTAGTCAATATTATTTTCAGTTTTATCTTCTACTATTAAATTATTAAATAATTTTTTTATAATATAGGTACATATTGTCATATATGATTACGCGAAATACTTTCCTGCAGTTTAAGAAGTTTTCTAACAAGTATCCTGTCTGATATACCTACCTCAAGCAAAATTATACTATGTACCTACACAATACCTACCTATTGTAGAAGTTGAAACCTGAATACTAAATATCATTAAAATTATTATCGAAAAGCTACTCCTGGACTAAAACGCATCAATATAAAGTCTAAAAATAAGCATCTGGCCTAAATCATCAAATGCCTAAAAATAAAATTAGATTAGTTTCCGACACTTCTACGCATATCATACAATTGTTTTTTGATGCATTTTTGTGTTTAGTTTTTAGGTTGCTGAAATCATAAATTTGAAAGTCTTGTATATTTTTGAATATTATTACCTAGGTACCTTAAAATGTGTGGTAATTGGTTTGTGATAATTAATTTGACACTGTTGTGCGTTGAAGCAAATGTCTACTCAAAAACACAATATCGAGTGGGTGAGCTTAAGTTTCTGTCCTTTCAATATCATTATTATTATTTTTTGTGTTTCAAAATATCTCTTCAAAATCATCGCTGGGTAATTTTTAGGTGGTACCTTTAGTGATCCCAATCATCAAGCGGCATTTCAAGTAGTTATAGATAACCTTAATAGAGACAACTGGGAGAAACCTTTCGAAATTATTGCTGAACCATTCAACGTTTCTTATTATAATAGTTTAGAGACACGAAGAGGTTAGTTTTTGAGAGGGCCAATAAAATCCTGATGAAAAAAAAAGCTAATTCTTTTTTCAGCTATATGTTCTCTCCTAGAAAAGGGAGTGATAGGCATCTTCGGTCCAAGTTCAAGTCACACCTCTAACTACATCCATTCGATATGTGACAATAAAGAAATTCCTCAAATTGAAACACATTATGATCTCAAAATTGATCGGAGCTTTTGTGTGGTCAATTTACACCCAAATGCAAGAAAAATTTCGGAGTTTTTCGTTCACCTTGTAAGAATTTATTTAGATAAATAATAGAAAAAGACTAAGCAATAAGCATAGCATCTACCAATTTCTAGGTACGTGCATACAATTGGGACAGGCTCATAATACTTTTCGAGGACAATGAAAGTTTAAAACGAATAGCACCATTGCTTGAGTTGAACATTGAGTATGGTACCCACTTGATATTCAGACAGTTGGATCAGGAGTCACCAGGAAGTTATAGAGAGGTTCAAAACCCCCTACTAAAACTGAATACGATATTTTATGAATGTTGGATTATTTTAGGTGTTAAACAGTATCAAAAAAATGCCTGACAATAATATTCTTCTGGAATGTTCCATAGACATATTGGAAGACGTACTTATTCAAGCACAGCAAGTTGGTATAATGACAGAACAATATAAATTTATAATAACTAATCTTGATTTGAGTACTGTAAACTTGGAACCTTTTCAGTATGGCGGAACCAATATCACGGGGGTGAGTCCTGTTGCTTGTCCCAATAAAGTTTAGCCAATGTGTCTTGGTTACAGGCTCGGTTATTTGATCCTGATGACACCACAGTAACAGAAATTAACTCCAAGATTATGGAAATCTTGAAACTACCAAAAGAAGTAGCGGACATGCAAAAAATGAGACTTTCAACGGCATTGCTCATTGATGGTATAAGTATGTTTTATGAAGTTGTCAAGGACCTTGCTAGTACTCCAAGTGGTATTGAAGTCCAATACCTTGAATGCAAGGATACAGATTCTTGGAAGTATGGTTTGACTATTGCGAATCAAATAAAAGGAGTAGGTTAAAGTTGTTTTCTAAACCTAATTATAGAATATTTAATTATAGAGGGAATATAATGGAATAACAAGAAAAATCAGATTTGATTTCGAAGGAATCAGAAGTGATTTTAAACTAGATCTGGTAGAGCTATCTACAGCAGGCTTGCAAAAAGTTGGTCAATGGGACACAACCACTAAATCATTAACTATGAGCAGAAAATATGTTGCACCATTTTTGGATCTGGACTTGGATTTCAATCCTTTTAATAGAACTTTTAGAGTTGTTGTAGTACTTGTAAGTGTATAAATGCTTCACAATGTATCCGGTATATGAACTCATTTTTTTGTTCTCAGACTGCACCTTATGCTTTTCTTAAAGAAACTACTGACCAACTAACAGGCAATGACAGATACGAAGGGTTTTGTATAGATGTAATTCAAGAACTCTCAAAACTGCTAGGTTATAATTATACATTTTTGGTTCAACACGATGGTAAAAATGGAAATTTTAATCGATCTACAAATCGATGGGATGGTGTTATTGGTCAAATAATTGATGAAGTAAGTGTATACAATATTATTTAATATAGAGTCTCATAAAAATTATCTTTTAGAATGCGGATTTAGCTATCACAGATTTGACAATAACATCAGAAAGAGAAAATGCTGTTGATTTTACAAGTCCATTCATGAATTTAGGTATGAAGGTATTATAATATACAGGGAGTTTGTCGTACCATACTTGTTTTCGTATTTTTATCGAAAATAATTGAAAAATTCTCGGACTCGTCAATTTTATTTTTTTGGAGGATCAATTTTTTTCAATTTAAACTCTTGAGCGGAAGTGACTTAAAAAAGATCCTACATGGAAAGGAAAAGGGTAACATATCTTATGCATAAGCATTCATAAGCACCCTGAATCCTCCTAATTCAATGCGGTCTTGTCAATACAAGTACCTACTCAATATAGTGTCTTTAATGGTTTGGGGAAAAAAAAAACAAGTAGGAGTCAGCTGCTAAGGAAGGTGGATGTCTTGCAAAATTGACTTGTATCTTCAGTACAACAATATCTGGAAAAAAAATGTATATGCATAATTTAAAAATTTAGCTATACAGGGAAATAGAAAAAAAAACTTCCATTCTACATTAACAGACATTCAGTTAACATAAACAAACCAAGTATTTTTTTAATCGATATAGAATATTGTAGAAATTCGAGGTGTGAGCGAGGAGAAGAGAACTAAACTCTAGAGTACAAAAATATAAGAATATTTCAATATTCTGCTGTACAATCCAGTCTACAAACCTCCTCACTCCTCGTCTCCGCACCAAACATAAACTTCCATTTATCAAAAGCAACCTCCTTTTCATCATTAACCTAAGGTATCAAACACGATGGCCATTACAAGCTACCGCATTTCTGAACGAAGATCAAATCTTTTTTTGTTTTTTTAATCATGATAAATTTTGAAAAAACCAAAATCCACGTGCCATTTTTCGAAAATCTGCTTTCAAAATTATGAAGTTTTACAAGGAGATTTCAAATGGAACTGTATTTTGTCCATCTAGTCTAATTATTTCTATTATTTTCGTGTTGATGCAATTTTATTTCAGGAATCAGCATCCTCTACAAAAAGCCGGAACCAGTTCCTCCCAGCCTCTTCATGTTTACATCACCATTCTCAACAAGTGTTTGGGTAATGTTAGGTGTAGCCTACATTCTAGTATCAATTGCTATTTTCATTATGGGTAGACTGTCACCGAGTGAATGGAATAATCCATATCCTTGTATAGAAGAGCCGGAATATTATGTAAATCAGTTCAGTTTTAGGAATTCATTGTGGTTCACTATTGGTGGATTACTGCAGCAAGGATCAGAGTTAGCACCTGCGTGAGTACAGTATAGTCATCTAGTTATAATTAATATTCTTTGAGTAGGTTTTTATTAATTTTTGGTAATGTTTGTAGGAGCATATCAACTCGAACAGCTTCAGGTTTCTGGTGGTTCTTTATACTGATAATGGTAGCGTCCTATACAGCAAATCTTGCTTCATTTCTTACTGTGTCAACTCTAGTAACCCCATTTAAAAATATTGACGAACTGTCTAAACAAACAGAAATTAAATATGGGGCTAAAAAGCAAGGAGCCACTGAAAACTTTTTTAGGGTAGAAATGCTCAATATTTATTGCTCATTAATTCTTGATGAATTTATAGGACTCGAATGGTACTACTCACCAAAGAGTCTACAACTACATAAAAGCACATCCTGAGCTCATGACTGCTGAGAATGAAGAAGGACTTAAACGAGTAGAAACCGAAAATTATGCCTTCTTAATGGAGTCGACCACAATTGAGTATATTACTCAAAGACATTGTGGCTTGGCCCAAGTAGGAGGACTACTGGATCATAAAGGATATGGAATTGCAATGAAAAGAGGTAATTCATTTGTATAAATAAATCAAGCTTTTGTTTTATTAATTTGGACTTTATAGAATCTCCCTACAGAAATGAGCTTAGTACAGCCATAATAAAGCTTCAAGAAACCGGAGTAATTACTGGGCTCAAAATAAAGTGGTGGAAAGAAAAAAGGGGAGGCAGTACTTGTTCGGTAAGTACTAGTAAAAATACTTTATCTACGACATTTCACGCCACTTGCACCATCTGGTCGCGCTTTCTTTAAACTGTTGCTGGCACAAAGTAGAAGTCAAATTGACTGTTTGGAGCATACCTACGTTACTAACTTACCCCCTCGTCAAATCTCTTTGGCACACTCTTTCTTTCAGAACTTCCTATTGTCATTGGTTTCTCAACTGAGGCTGAAAAATCACGGCCGCTTGATGGAATCAATTTCGATTAATTTTTATAACAATCAAAGAAATCAAAATACGTAAAATCAACATACTTAGGTACCTACTAATCTTTTGCATTTGCGGAAACTGGAGTTGTCCGCATTGAACCTGCCTCTTCTGCTTGTGGAACCATTCCTAAATCATTTTGCGTTTGGTTTATGGCAATATGAACTACCTACTTTTCATTAATTACCTACCACATCGTGACTTAACTTCTTCATTTTCGTCAAATTCGTATAATCTTCACTTATTATATTTCACTTTGTCTCTGCCTGAACAACTAAAATCATCTTTTTTCTCCTATTTGATAACTTTTTCTTGGGGAACATGAAATATTAGTCCAGTATCGCAAATTTTTGAGTGGCTTATAAATGGCTTTCTATTGGTCTATAGGTTGCACGGTGTCTTCGTGTTTCATACAATTGCAATACCTACTCCGATTTCTCAAATACACTACAGTACCTACTTGATGCTTCAGTCCAGTTTTGTCATTTTTAACAATTGTTTTGTTCATACGTTCACACATGCCATTCTGGAGCGTGTACGTTGGTTTTTTGAGGTTCGATGCCGTTATTTTTCAGAATTTGCTGAAGTCGTTCGCCACAAAATTCTCGACCATATCAGTAAGCTTTGATATTTGGTCTTCTTAAAGTTCCTTGAAAACATATATGAAGCTCATTCTGCTGTAGTCATCGTCAAATAACAAGAAATACTTTGAACTACCTATGGATCTGCGTTTGATATGTCCGCAAAGGTCTGCATGGATGATTCAAAGCATGTTGAAGCTCTGTTGCCTCAAAACATGGGGAGAAAACTTTTCCTGCTTGCCTCTAAAAAAAACTGTCGCCATAGTTCAATTTTCCAGCGATTTCCAGCATTCATCACACCCAATCTGCGCCTCGACAGAAATTGTCCCGTTTATTTCTAGTAATTATGATTGTCAATGTTCTATGCCTGTTCAGCTTAACTAGCCACTCCGTCTATTTCACAAGTTGCCTCGTTTATTTTTAGAAATTAAGGTGTTCACATTGTAGCATTTTCAATTTCTCTTCAAGTTTCCGACTTTGTTTTGCTCTGTTGGATATGATTCCACATAGAACTATAAATAAATAAATGAATAAACGACTATCTTTTCTATGCCCAGAATTTATTACCTTGAGTACAGCCTTCTCCTAAAAGTTTTCTGGTTCAGGTTTGCAATTGTAGTTAATTGATCTAGGAAGGTTTGATTCAGTAACGCAGGGCCCGCTATTATTGATTAGAATCTTATAAAAAGGAGAAAGTACCATCGACTCTGGTTGGCAAATCCAATTGATAAATAATCTGAGGTTATGATAGTTGTTTACTTTTTTTGATTTTTCGGTTCCATCATACATATGTCATTGAACAGCTGTCGCTGTCTAGACGTTTTCTTTAAGACCTGTTCTACTTTTTGATATAGGTTCTATAGGCAATTTTCAGCATTTACCGGTTATCTGGAGTCATTTACAACCCACCTTTCAGTTCGTATTTTTGGGATGAAACTTAACACGCCCTTTTCTTGATTTTCATCAATATCAAAATTAGAAGTTTGACTTTGGAAGCCCCCTTTCCAAATCTAAGAGGAAGAATCTGCCCCTTTGATTTGAGACCTCATGCCGTATGGTCGGTCTTGGCCTGATTGTTTTAAGGCAAGACTTTTTGGAATTTTGTGCCAGGGAAACTCAAGTTAGGATAATTTCTTGTTGATCATTGTCTAGAGTTGTCCCTTGGTCATTGCGGATTTTGTTTCGGATCGTTCCGAGCAGCTTTTGGAAGTTTGAGTTAAGTAATATTCCTAGTTAAGTCACAATCAACTTGGTGGCGCCCAAAGATAAGATGTATACAGGGAACCCATAAATCCATGGCCTCCGAATTGATGCTGACTAGCCGTACGCAGTATAATTAGACAATTTTAAAAGAGTACCTACGTTATGGTAGAAAAGCTCCGCGAATCCTGTTCTTCTGTTTTACTTGGCAAATTAACCCAATCTAAGTTAATTTTCAATAGTAATATAACAAGTGCAATGGAAATTATTGATAATTTTTGGGAAATTTGCCCGAATGCATTTTTAGTTGAAAAAGAGCACGAGTGCACGTAATGCACGAGTGCCTTTTTCAGTTAAAAACGCATGAGTGCAAATTTGTCGAAAATTATAAATATATTTCCATTGCACGAGTTGTATTTAATGAGAGAATTTCATAAATCAAAAATTTAAATTTTTTGTCAAAAAATGTCAAAACCCCTGTTTTCGCACCAGCACTAGTGCAAATTATCGCGTAATTCCAATCTGATTGGTTCAAATCAACAATCAAAACATGTCACTTTGTTATTGTTGGAATACCAGTTTTGACAGATGTACGAAATTCTCATCAAAATTCAATTTCTAAGACTAGAAAAAGCAATTTTGTGTTGCTAGTGAAAATAAAACGATCGTAAATAGTCACTCGATCACATATTTATTATTAACAATATTAACCGATGTATCAAATAAAAAAATAACAATTTTGAAATGAATACTTCATTAACTACAGTAGGTAAATGATATCAACAAATAATATAATCAATAACATATTGAAGGTCGCATTCCCTATAATTATGCCGAACTAACATTATTTTGATCGAGAAGAGTTTTTGATTGCAAACGTTTTTCATCCAGAAATTAAACACCTAAATATAAAGAAAATAGTCAATTAGTAGTAAAATAACAGGAGTACAGGATATACTGTGTAAACATCTTTTACGGCGGTATGAGGGTGAATTTCGAAAAATGCGACATCATAACCCATGCGCAGTGATTGGTGCGCAGCTATTTCAGCGCATGCGGTCTAAGGTGGCATTAGATTTTCATGTCGATAATTTTGATATATCTGTGAATTTGTGCAGGCAGCGAACTAATCCACTCCAATAGTTATCGCTCATGAGATGTTCACACATCAGTGTCTCGAGTACTAGTAGACTAGCAAGCTTTTTTTTCAACAGGGTATTGGATCAGGTATAATTCCAATGAATTCGATGACCTATTCTTTATCTATGAAGTAAATAAAAAATATGCATATCGGTTTCGGGGGCTCTGCAATTTTTTTACACTGAGGCTCCGTCATGTCAGTCGCCTTACATCGCCACAGTTTATAAGCCCTCGGGCAGGATTCACATTATCTTCTTCTGCTTCACACCTTCAAAATAAAGAAGCCAGGTTCATAAATTCATACTATCTTTTTTTTTTTAATTCTAGGCTACAAAAAAGCAATCTGAAGCTACACCCCTGGATCTTCAAAATGTCGGCGGTGTTTTCCTTGTTCTATTTGTAGGTGCAATCTTGGCTCTGATTGGTTCATTTTTAGAATTAGCCTTCAGGATCTACCGGAAGTGCCAGATGACCAAAGACGACTTTTATCATCAGCTCAAAAAGGAATTGGAATTTTTTATCCAATTCAAGAAAAATATAAAGGAATTGGCACCAGCTGATGAGGATGTGTCAGAGAAAAATGAGGGTGGTTTTTAATAAATAATTATGTAAAAAAAAGGATTTTTCAACGGACAATGTTTTATTTATTATCAACAATCTTTTTCAATTTTTTTTTGTGTATAAATAATACAAACCGTCTTTAAAGAAAAAACTTCTTAAAGTAGGTATCTTCTAATAAGTCAAATACCTATTAGGTCCTATGGTAAAAATAATTCACTGAAGGGGATTGTTGATAAGACTCCTCCCCCTGTAGTTCGTGCAATTGATGTAATGACTGCTTTTATAGTTGCGCTAAGTTCTTTAATAATATCTTGATCATTTTCGTTTAAGAATTTATTAACGTTATCTCCTGAAATTTGAACACATATTATAGGTATCTTATCCAAAATATTTAATAACAAATTACCCATTGCTTTATTGCCGTTGAACAAATTATCCAATTTGTAATACGATTTGCTAATTTTGAAGTCCAGCGAATCATTGTCTTGGACTATTGCATAGTCCACACCGGCCCTGTTTTCCAGTTTATATGAGAAGCTGTATTTAAATTGACTGTCCACTAAAATTTGATTTATTGTTAGAGAAAATATCAAGGCAAAGATGATATTAGACTTACCAATTGTTATATTCAGTGGACCGTTTCCTTTTATTGGTAAAACAAGAATTTTACCATCAATAGCATATGTTCCTATCAACATAACACGCTCGGCATGTAGGGATATGTAGACTGTTTTTTTATCAAAATCAACACTAGAAATTTTAATTATTATTATAGGAAAAGTGTAACTTTGGCAATATCAAACATCTTACTTCATGTCAGTCACCTTTAGTGAATCCACACCTTGCAACTCTATATTTGTGAGGGTAATTTTTAGGTTAGGTCCTGCATCAGCTACGACTTTATCTAGATGGTAGGGATTCAGTTTAGGTATTTTCAGTTCTTTATCTCCTTGTAGAAGTAATGGTAGGGCTTTGTTTCCATGGTCTGTGCAGCACTTCTGGAAATCCGCCGCTGATTTACTGCAGGGCTCAATAAATTTAGCTAAAAGATATAAACAAAATCGATTAGGAACCACTTTGCCTATGTTTTCAAATTTACTTTTAATATTTGAAGATTGTCAATATTAATTTTCAAATATGCCTCAAAAAACTCATTTTGAAAATAAGTTTTTTAAGATTTCCAAGTTTGTTACTGTTAATGAGAGTACCTGAAGGTCAATTGATCTTGAGGTAACTGGGATATTTTACTGCTGTAACAAATGTAGCTTACCGGATTTCAAGGGGAGATACATATCTATGCAGATTAAAAAAAAATACATTTGGAAAGAACAGCCCTTCAAATGATAGGCAAAATAAATAGTTTCGATTTATCCTTATAAAGCAGAACACTTTTTTTGAGAATTGGCATAAAGTTTTATGCCGAAGCGAATGGTGATAGTGTAAAGAACAGAACAGTTCTGAATGGGTTTTTTGAGGGTTGCTTTTCAGTTTTTTTTTTGTATCAAGGTGATTAGGTACATTAATTTTAGCATCAGATAAAAAAACATCATAGAACTCAACTCATCTACATAAAAAAGGTGACTTTTCTACAACATGCATGTAAACTGACATTTTGCGAATTGTTCTGTCAACTCAAAATTGTCTTTTGCGATTGCCTATCAACAAAAACTTTGTGGATTGCTGTCATGGAAGACAATCGACAAAGTAAACTTTGCCAATTGATTGCAGTATTTCTTTTATCTACAAGCGTTTGGTTGTGACGTTTTTACATAACCATTGTTCTAGCATTTAAGTTATGTCATGAGACTCATAACACAAATAGTGATGTTATAGACTAGGTTATGAATTCATAACACAACTAGTGGTGTTATGGACTAGGTTATGAATCTATAACACAACTATTTTTGGTGGTTTAACAAATGTCAAAGTTAAACCTGTGAAGGTGAAATGAAGGTGGACAAATACTAATAAACGAAAATAATTGAACATATCTTTCTTTTCCGCTTTGTAGATAAAAAGTTGTACATCACAAAACTTGTGTGATTAGAACGACTCGGTCTACGACCTCGTCGTTCTACTCTTTCACACTCGTTATTGTAATCATGTTCATAAACGCACTTGTAATGTAAATAACTATTACTCGCTACAGTGAACGGAGAACGGTTACATAGGTATGCGTGAAGTTTGCAATACATTTTACAAGGGTTGAACATTTTACAAAGATAATAGTTATTTATATCACACGTGCGTTTAAGAATATGATTACAATAATGAGTGTGAAAGATTAGAACGACGAGGTCGAGACGAGTCGTTCTAATCACACGAGTTTTGTAGTCATGTTTAAATGCACGTCTGATGTACGACGTTTTATCTACAAAGGAAAAAATAATGGTTTTTAAATTATTTTCGTATAATAGTAGTTGTCTACCTTCATTTTACCTTTACAGGTTCAACTTTGACATTTGTCAAATCACCAAAAATAGTTGTGTTATAGATTTATAACCTAGTCCATAACATCACTAGTTGTTTTATGAATTCATAACCTAGTCCATAACACCACTAGTTGTGTTATGAGTCTCATGACATAACTGAAATACTAGAAAAATGGTTATGTAAAAACGTCACAACCAAACGCTTGCAGATAAAAATTTTAATAGGTAGGTAGGTAGTTAGAAGAACTAAGAATGAAATATATTGAGACAATTTCGTAACCATTGGCTTTGGCTTGAAAAGGTATGCCAGAATATCAAATTTAAAGAAAAATGGTCTACTGCCTCTATTCTTATAAAAATAAATAAAACTATTCGTTTTATCTGCCGTTTAGGCAGTTTCCTTAGCAAGCATATGGATTATCACCTCTCACAGTCCGGTGCACTATTTTTTTACACTCAGTCAACCACAATAAACTCTACTTACGTATGCGTGAAATCTCACTTTTCGCAATCCCTAATATCAGCATAAGAACGAGCAACATATTTCTAACTAATCTAAGAACCCTACCCAAACTAACAATTTTTGTTTGAGTGGGCCTACTTATAATTTGCTATTGATCCATAAAAAACCATTATTAGATACTTGTTAAAAGCTTTTCCATGAATTCAAGTTCACTAAACAAATTAAATGTATTTTTTTCTTCTTGTTTTTTCGGTTCGGTTACATGCTTAATTCATTTCCGTTACAAGTTCACGAGAACAAGGCTAGAAATGCATATAGATATCTTATTATGACTGCGACGCCTAATTGTCGTACTAGCAAACTTTCAGTACTGACAAACAGTTTTTCCTGTCTTAACTTTATATTAATTGGGAAAGTCACCGAATGACCCCGCAATATTTAGCAATAACATAATTAAAATTCATACAAATATCACGAGTAACAAATTTCCGTTTAACTATGGCGGGGTCCTTTGACGTACCTATATTTGATTTTAATGTGAATAATTACTTGGTCAGAAAGCTTCATGAAAGCTATCAGATTAGTCAAAATACATAGAGCGGAATATTATCTACCAGTTCCTCATATATTTTATGTACAGGGTTATTGGTTATAAATGTCACCTCCTCTATCTTTTTTATTTGACATTTTAGAAAAAAGTGTCTCAAATAAAAGTTTTATGGTTGAAATTAAATTTTTTAAAAAACTCACTTTCGCATATACAGGGTATTTCAGAAAAGCTGCTCACGCTCCAAATTTCTTATTTCAAATAGAATACCCTGTATATAATTGGATATTCGGATTCTGCGTAAAATTCTGAGCAAATTTCATGTGATATACCCTATACCTAAGTTCAACTGTTTTCCAAATATTGACAGTTGAAAATTAACTTTCTTTCAACTTTGACAGGCTGTAAATCATAAACAGTTAATTTTAGAGCAAAACCAATCTTACATTTTTTTCTTAGATTTTTATAAACTATCAGTTGACACCAGTATTTGACATCAACTTTGAATTAAATCCATGATTTAAAATTAACAATTATATTTAATCTTCGGTTAAATTCAAAGTTGGTGTCAAATGATAAGTCAAAGTTGGTGTCAAATGATAAGGTGTAAAAATGTAAAATCGGTTTTGCTCAAAAGTCACCCGTTTAGGTTTTACAGCCTGTCAAATTTGCAAAAAAGTCAATTTTCAACTGTCAATATTTCCAAAACAGTTGAACTTAGGTATAGGGTATATCACATGATATCTGCTCAGAATTTGACGTAGAATCCGAATATTGAATAATATACAGGGTATTCAGTTTAAAATAAGAAAGTTAGAGCACGACCAGCTTTTTTGAAACACCCTGTATATACAAAAGTTAGTTTTTCAAAAAATTTAATTTCAATCACAAATTTTTTATTTGGGACACTTTTTTCTAAAATGTCAAATAAAAAAGTTAGAGGGGGGTGACATTTATAACCAATAACCCTGTACCTACTTACCTAACAACCTAAGCTTCCAAATTACGGGTGTTATACTCTGAAAAGGCATTCTGGAAATCTAATTGCCCAAAGCACCCTTGCTGGGCAACGGAGAAAGACTCCTACCGACACGTTTAATTAAGGACTATGAAATAAACTTCATTGTCAATACGAATTCTAAGTGATAGAAAAACAGCTAGGTGGCGTGACTACCAAAGTAGTGGAACCAACCAAAAGCGGACAGGTTGGAATTTTGTGATATATACTGTTAAGTTAAAACTAACAGTGAGGGTAACCAATTTTTCGACAAATCGCACCACGTTAAAGAAAGGACAGTTACTCATTCTTGTAATGGAATTGTGAAAGAATACTCAGGACACTCTGCTGTGTTGCTTTGTAGGTTGGGTTACTACTCCTGGTAAAGTTGGTGCTAGAACTACTCTAGGACTAATACTTTTTTCCAGAGATGTCTTGGGCTCCGTAACTTATTGTTGTGAATTGAACATTATTCAGTTTCTGCATTTGACAGTATTGGAATTAACATGCGTAGATCTCTTGATCGGTCCTCCTTCTACCCTTCTTTTTCATATCTGATATATCCTTTTGAAGATCTGAAACATTCGCTCTTTGTAGTTGTGATTTGGACAGGTCCTGCGTATAGTCAAGCCAGAATGTAGGAATTAATGCGACATTGTACATAATTCTCAGAGCTGTAAGATTTCCTGTTGCTGCATTGTTTGAGCCCTAAATCGCAGGCAGCTTATACAGTAGCTAATAAGCTTCCATTTATTATTCAGAAACAGCTACTTGAATTGGATAATGTCAGCTTATTTTCTCCATGTATTGTATTGGCGTAAGCGTTTAATATTACTAGCTTTGTCACCTGACTCGCATATGGTAAGATAATTGGATGTTTGGTATGCTATCGTAACCTAACATTGCGCGTTTTGCAATCTTCCTTCAACTCGTGAAACTCCATTATCTTCAAACCCAGCTATGACTAGGATTGAGGATTCTACTATTACTGTCTAGTTGGGACACTTTTTGTGCCTACTTCTGCTTTGAAATATCGGATCTGATCAATCTGGTGTGTTAGGGTTTTACCTAACTCATCTGCTCAGACAGTGACAGTGTGCTGACTTGTTTGTCGCCTGCTGTAAGATACAACTCAAATCAATGAGAGAAATCGCTCTATGATTTAATTTTTTCTTTGGTCGTTTTCTGTTCCAATAATTATTGTAACGTGGTGTCCGTGGTGACACATACTGGCTTCCTCTGGTGACTGATTTATGATGATCCGTAGGCGTTGCGGTAATTGATTGCAGCCACGATGGACCAAACCACCACATTATAGGATTTTTTGATAGAGTTGGACTCATCCCTCTTGATATAATATCAGGTGGGTTGTCGTTGGTTCGGTGACAATTCTGCTACTCGGTTGGCTAAAAAACTATTCTACTTGAACGGGTTCTTGTTCACGAAAATTTGCGTTAGCTTTTCAAAATTTTGGAGAGCAGCGGGACTGTAAGCGCTAAATTCAATTTCGCCGCACAAATATTAATGGACATAAACCCGAGCCATACAAAGACAATGGAGGATTGGTACTTAAGTACTTGGTTTATGCTGGATTTCGGCGATC